TGTGCACATACTACACACACATGCACACACAGGCACACCCAGAAACACGTGCATGCGTATACCCGCACACGCACACATCTGTGCACTGCCCGCATGCACTCACACAAACACATACGCACGTATACCCACACACACAGACACACAACGTGCGCAACCGTGCATATGTGTGCACCTGCACATTCATGCACGTGTGCATACAGACACAGGGCGTGCACACAGACACATGCGTGTGCATACCCACACGTGCACATGTGTGCACACACATGGCCGTGCACACATGTGCACCTGAACACTCACACCTGTGTGCCCGTGTGTGCACACATGCATGTGAACATGCACATGCAATGCTCATCCCGCATACATCCACACGACCACACACACACACACACACACGCACACAGATGTGCACACGCACGTGTATGCGTCTCCCTCAGCACTCTGCCCTCAGCCCTAGTACTGCAGTTCCTGCCCCAGATGCCATGGCTCCATCCGCCCCTTAAAGGACACTGCTTGGGTGTGAAGTCCTGCCTTCCCTCCTCCTTTTATCAATGTCTAGCTCCCCCTCCTTCTTATTACTTTGAGGAATAAACACTGAATTACATAACACAACATGAAGACTGAGCTCTGCATTCATAATCTACGCTAGTACCCGCCCTGCTCTGTCTTCCACTGCGGGGGTTGGGGGGTCGAAGTGGCAGGCCTGCCTGAGATGCTGTCCCACCCCCTTGTCCTTGAACACCTCCTTCAACAAGAGGGCCAGAAAGTTACATCCATGAAGCAGCCCAAGGCCCTGAAAACCCATCTTCCAAACCCAACCTCCCTCCCTCCTCCTTCTCCCTCTCCACCTCCCTCCTTCCTTACCTCCCGCCCTCTCTCCCTCCCTCTCTCCCCAGTCTTTTTCCTCCTCTTCCCCCTCCCTCCTCCTCCCCCTGCCTCTCCCCTCCCAACGTCCCTCCCCCTCTCCCTCCCTCTTCACCTCTCCCCGTGCACCTGCTCCCACTCCCCTCCCTCCCCCTCCTCCCTCTCCACCTCCCTCTCCTCCTCCTTCTCTTCGCCCATCCTCCCTCTCCCTCCTCCAGTCAGCTCATCTGTGACAATCAGCCTGATTTGCTGGAAGACTTGAAAGAGAAAAACCCTGAGATTTCAGGCGTGGTGGCCAGGCCACAATGGTGACAAAGCTGCCCGAGCTGTCCCATCGGGCCGTTCCATCAGATTGAAGTAGTTTGCTATGGGCAGACACTCAGGCTGACAACTTTCTCTGACTCGTCCGTGGGCCCGGGTCCACGTTTCTCTCCAGGGTTGTTGCTGGTCGTTCCCAGACGCCAAACCTCCAGGCTCCCCTTTGTGTGTTTTGCATCCCGGCTGCCTAACCGCGCGGACGAAGGGGCCTTCGTCGGAAGTGCTTTTCACGATGGGGAACTATGTGGTCATTTCTGCTTTGCTTTCTCCATACCCCTCTGAGTGCTGGGGGGAGGGGTGCATCCTTTAGGAATCCAGCCCGCAAGGCCCATTCAGGCAGGGGTACTGCACCCGCAGCGGAGGCAGCTGGGATGGCCTGGCGGGAGTCTGGGTTTCATGTTACTGGCTGTGCGTCCCTGGGAAGCGTTACCGAACATCTCGGGGCATCAGACTGCCCAGCTGTGAACCGAGGACAAGAACCCCCCTCCCTCCTGGGTGCTCGTGTGTGCTGAGACCACACGTGCTGTGCTCAGCTGCTGCTCCAGGCGCGTGGTCAGAGCTCTCTGACCACACGGGTGCTCCCTCTCTGCTCACTTCGGGCTTGTGTCCACGTCCGAGGGCTGCCCGAGCACAGCAGCACAGGCCTGGGCTCCACATGCGTGTTCTGGAGGACAGGCACTGGGAAGCATTTTTGGCAGCTCACCCTCCCGAGGTTGAGGTGGAGGCTTGTCCTTGCCTTTTCGACCCTCTGGACGTGCCTCCATCCTGCCCTGCGTTGCCAGAGCCCGCAGTGTGGCATCCCACTTGGGTGGCCTTCCTCAGCCACAGCCGCCAGTCTCCTTCCACTTCCCTCTTATGAGGGTGCTCAGGTGATCCTGGGGGCCCCCCAGGACAATAACCCAATTATCTGCCCATCTCAGTATCCTTAGCTGAACCACATCTGCAAAGTCCCTTTTACCAGAAAAGGTCACACTGACAGGTTTCGGAGACTCAGGACCTGACATCTTAGGGGCCACGAATTAGCCTAGGACACTTACCCAGGTCTGGTTTAAGATGAGAAGGAACACACACACACACACACACACACACACACACACACCCAGATTGCTGGAAAGCAAAGACAAGAGGAGGAGGTCCTTCCACTGAACTTGGTTCTTCTCTCAGATACCAGCAGGGAGGAGCAGTCTTGGATGGGGCAGGAGTTGAGAATGTGGATGGCACAGCTGCACCCCCAGTGCCCAGCCATGGCTCTGCCCCTTCCTGGGGGAGTGCCTGGTCTCGGGCTACCCATTGGATGGCAGGAGCTAACACGTGCCTGTGTCTCCCTGTCCAGGGCACAGAGCCCCGGGCACGGACCTAGCCGGGGAGGGGCTCCAGGAGGCAGAGTGAGGGAGTGGGGCAGGGTGGGGAGCACAGAAGGAGAGACCAGCGGGGCAGTGCCCCTGCTGGGCTCACGGGGAGAAATCCCACGGACTCAGTAAGGAACCATGAAAAGTATAGGTCACCGCCAACCCCGCAGCTGAGATGGAAGTGTTCCGGAGAAATCCGTACAGGAGCCGAAGAGCACAGGATGCACAGTTGGGGGATACCGAGCAGAGCAGCGCAGTTCCTGTGAAACTAGCCTTGGCCTCCCCGCAGGAGGCTCTCGGGCCGGTGGCTGTGCACACAGTGCCCTCCTCCAGGCGGACCAGAGCTCAGCAGGCCAAGGCGGGCGGGCGGCATGCCGCACCCAGTGGCTCAGGGCACGGCTCCCGATGCCTAAGGGCCGTCTGCCAGAGGCCGTGCAGCAGGAGAGCTCGGCCTCCTGGCTGTGGCACCTGGCGGGCAGGGCTGCATGCAGACCGGAAGAAGGGGTCCCAGGAGGAGCGGTCAGACCCCTACAGCATCTGCTGTTCCCACAGCGATGGCATTTGGGAAGATCTCACCACCTGCCACCCCTCTCTCCTCTTCACAGGTGTCCGACAGATGTGACTACGTCTTCGTCAACGGGAAGGAGATGAAAGGCAAAGTGAACGTGGTGGTGAACTTCACCTACCAGCACCTGAGCAGCCCCCTGGAGATGACCGTGTGGGTGCCCCGCCTCCCGCTGCAGATCGAGGTCTCGGACACGGAGCTCAACCAGATCAAGGGCTGGAGGGTGCCCATCGTCTCCAACAAAAGGTGGGCGTGCTAGTCACGACTTCCTATCAGAGACCAGAGTCAAATATGCTTCTGCTAAAGACAGATATTTGCAGGGAAGCTAATTTCAGGCATGACTGGACCCGGGGCTGCAAATGGCACCCTCAGGACGGAGTCTGTCCCTGCCTCGTGGGCTGGCTTGCGTGTGCTGGCCTCGTCCTCTACCAGCTTTTCTCCTGCAGTTCCAGACTTGCAGAAAGTGCATCCTTTCCTTCCCGTTGGTTCCAGCAGAGGCCCTAGAGTTACACTGGCCTCCCTTGGGCTGTGTGCCTGTCCTCAAGGCCATCAGTGTAGTGAGGACATAGAGCACACTGTCCGCTGAGGCTTTGGCACGATTCCCTGGCTGGAGTCAGAACACCTGGAAGAGGTCAGCCCCACCTGAATCGATGGGTCGATACTGGAAGAAGGGGCCAGTTGGTTCTGGGATGGCATGAATGACAGAGGTCCTCTAGAGAGACCTGGGAGCAGACTCTGCTGACCTGGGTGGCCCCTCTGTGCCCACAGCCCAGAAGTTCAGAGATTGCTTGGTCTCGGGGAGATGAGGTCAGAAGACTGTCCCCAGTGTGTCTGGTCCTTTACCCTGAGGTGTCTGCTGGAGGGAAAGGTGTCCTTTATCCACACGGGCCACCAGGTACCAGGAGAATAGCAAGAGGTCAGGTTCTTTGTTCAGAGACAATGAGGACCAGCACGCCAGACACCTATAGAAAGTCAAAAGTGAGCGTACGTGGAATTAGAGTAGGGAGCACTCCTGGTGTCTTTGCTCAGCAGGGAGGACAGCTGGCATTCCTCCGAGGGGTGCCCTTTACGTCCTTTCCCCTGGAGCTCCACCCCCATTAGTCTCTCTGCCTCTGGAGGAGGGGACAGCTTCCAGAATGCAGCCTGCGGGTCCCACGTGTGGCGGGAAGATAGTTTCGGCAGTGACCTTCTATGAACCCTATAGAGACCCCTCTGCAGGGTCTCTATGGCTGAGCTGGTGGGACCCTCTCCTTAGGTGCGGGGTCTCAGGGCGGGGTTAGGAGTGGTTATTGAGGCTGCAAGCTGGGCGGCAGCCGGGAGGACGCACCAGAGGACTGGCTTCGTCTGATCGTGGCCCATCTCCGTGTCCGCTCAGATCCGGCCACAGAACTGGGCTATTGCTCAGATGGAGACCGCCATGTGCCGGGAAGAACTGGCTGGACGGAAGGCGTCAGACACAAAGGGAGCAGCTAATGTCTGTCCCCAAGCCAAAGCATCCCGGTCCTTTCTGTGCTTACCGTCCCATTACCTCGAGTTCGATACTGACCCCCATGCGTGCTGGTTGATGGGGCCATCGTGGTCGCCCACAGCCCTGTCAGCTGAGCTGCACAATGTAATGACGGGTCCCCAGACTTAGGGGCTTAAAGAAGACGCATACGATCTCACGGTGTGAGAAGCTGCTGTCCTGGCTTCTGGCTGGCTCCACGGGGCTGCTCCCGACATGGCAGCTCGCTTGCTCAGGGCGAGCAAGAGAAGAACCAAGGAAAGACTACGAAGCAAGAAGAGTCACGGTCTTTCTTAAAGCTGTATCCCGGAAGTCACAACCTGTCACTTTGGCTACCGTCTTCCGCAGTGGGAAGGTTACTAGGTGCAGCTTGCGCTCTGAGGGGGGGCGGGATTCTGCTGACTGCATTCTGGGAGGTGGGGACCCCTGGGAGCTCTGCTGACCACACCAGCCCCTTCCGATTGTCAGGACCGGTGTCACCCCTGTGGTCAGGTTATTTAGGATCTCACCCCGCCGGGCTGGGCTCCCTGCCCGCTCACCTTTGCTGGCCACTGTCAGCACCCGCTAACCCGACCTGACCATTTGACAGGCCGGCCCGGGACAGCGACGAGGAAGAGGACGACGACAGGAGGGGGGGTCGCGGCTGCACGCTCCAGTACCAGCACGCCATGGTGCGCGTCTTGACGCAGTTCGTGGCCGAGGCGGCGGACCGGGGCGGCCACCTGGCCCACTTGCTGGGCTCAGACTGGCAGGTGGACATCACGGAGCTGGTGGGCGACTTCATGCAGGTAGAGGAGCCCCGCATCGCCAAGCTGCAGGGGGGACAGGTCCTCGTCGGCCAGGAGCTTGGGATGACCACCATTCAGGTGAGCAACCCCCAGAACAAGGGCCCTCTCCATCCCTCTGCCCCTTCTCTGCCCAGAGGAGAATTGTTCGTCATTGCTTGGGACATCTCTTGCTAGAGCGAACCAGATTGTCTCCTGAACACTGTCGGGGGTGTGAGGATGTGACAAGAGTCTCGAAGTTGCTCCCTTGTTGCTTGCATCGACAAATGCTGTTTGGTTCCTCTGGATGCGTCATGTTTGAAACCCCAGTGCACTGTCCGTCTCCTTGCCGTGCTGGGTGTTGCCGTCGTGGGGAGAAGGCTCTGGGCCTGAGCTGGCCTCATGAGAGCCGTGGGCAGGGGCACGGCCAGCGGCTTCTCACTGAGCCCTCCGCCCCACTGACCATCGCCTGGGGTCAGGGCATTCCATCCCGCCGTGATGCCACATGGCCTCAAGTCCCACCCCAGGCCCAGCGAAAATAGGGGATCTCAGAAAAGAGCCAAGGGGAGGAACAAAGTCATTATGCCCCTCGCGGTCTTGGGAGCACCTGCAGCTAGGGACGGATTGGACGGGACCAGGGTTTAACAGGAGGTTTTGGAACAAACACTCCCCCAAAACGCCATTCCAGGAGGTCCCGTGGGTTTAGTCGTCTACCTCCTGTCTGAGAACAAACAGCAGCAGCTCCCCCCGACCGGGCCACCGGCCTTTCCGTGGGGTTTCTGCCACAGCTGGGCGCAAGGAAGCCTCGTCAGTGGGAGTATTGGATTCTGCCAGATTTAGAGCACATCCGCTCCAGAAAATTGGCTGGTATTTAAAAAGAGACCGTTGTGCTCAAGGAGGAAGATAGACAGGTTTGAAGTGACCAAGGGGTCCTGAGCCCCAGTGACCTCTAAGACCAGAGAAGGTGACAGTGAGCAAAGCAGACCGGGCATGAGCCGGAAGACAGAAGCCCACTTGGGCCCCAAGTGCTGGGGACATAATAGGGGCCGGTGAGGAGTGCAGCGAGGGAGGAGGGGCCGGAGGAAATGCAAATCTAGCATGGCCAGATGTTGCAGATTGCTCCAGAAAAGCGAGAAATCTTTTTGTGTGAAATTCTCTGTTGTTTTTTTTAAGGATGACCATTAATTCCATTATAATGTTTTATTTATTTGGGGCTCCTGGGGAGCTCAGTTGGTTAGGCATCTCCCTTCAGCTCAGGTTATGATCCCAGGGTCCTGCTCCCTGCTGGGCTCCCTGCTCAGTGGGGAGTCTGCTTCTCCCTTTCCTTCTGCTGCTCCCCCTGCTCGTGCTCTCTCTCTGTGTTGGACACACAGATAAAATCTTGGGAAAATAAAGAAGTAATTAAAAAAATAAAGTTTTATTTATGTCAAACCAAACCTATCTGCCCCCAAGACAAGAGCTCAAAACCTCTACCATCAACTTTCAGTTGGAAGATCTAAACCGAAGAGCTGAATTCCTCCCACGTGGGGACCGGAACCAGGAGCAGCATTAGCCCGGCCCATACGGAGTGGCATAAACACCAGGGCCATGACACAGGTCCGGACTTCTGGTCGGGGGCATGGGCCGGCTTCCCATGCATCCGATGTGGACGCCGTCCTGGTGGGGCCATGGGACCTGAGACCTTCTCTTCTTTCCCCTGAGCCCTCCTGAGCTGTGCATTCGCTTGTCCACTTCCTTCCGGGGACTCGTAACCCCCGCTCACTGCCGTCCCGATTGTCCCAACCCGACTTAGAGACCGAGGTGGTATTTGGATAGAATCACGGAGCCCGATACACGAATTTCAGGGGTCCTGGGAAAACCGCCATCCCGACGTAGGCCTTCGTAAATACCAGCACCACCTCGCGGAGAGAAGCGTGTCGGGAACATGGGTTAAAGGAAGCTGGAAGCCGTGTCCAGGTGGAGGCTGAGGGTTCGACTCTTCGAACTTGAGTGAGGGGTGAGTGGGACAAAGGGTTCCACAGAAGCAGAATCTCTCTTCCGCAGGGTCGAAATGCATAAGCTTGGTTTCCCTGGGGCGCCACAGGTGTCCGCGGGAGAAATGAGACTCCGGGATGTCGGCACCGGCGGTGGGGACCCCCAGCTCTGTGTGCTGGGGATGCAGGCTGATCCCCCGAACGCTCAGTGCTTCCCAGGGTGTGGCATGTGACCTGTCGTGATGCGACTCAGGTGACACGCGGACCGACAGCCTCCGGTCAGCCGTGCACGTATGTAAGACAGAAACATAAATACGTCACTAGCCCATCAGAACCATTTTCCCTTGCTGCTGTGAAGTTTCTTACACCAATTATTTAAGAGAAATAATTTTAAATGAAGTACGCACGTGCACAAGTAATGGAGACCGCTCACGCAGCTCCAGAATCATGAGCGAGCCCTCAGGGAACGACAACGTTAATTCCTCCTCGGAAGAACTGCGGGGTGCCTGGTGGGTCGTGGGGTGTCTGGTGGGTCGTGGGGTGTCATGTCCCCCCGCATCCACTGCCGGACACCATCTTGCTGTCACTTTAAAATTACATCACATCTTCACAGGAGAGATACGTCTTTTGGAAGAAGACGTCAGTGGGAAAGACCCATCCGTGTTCCCTCTGGCTCATTTGTCTGTCTCTGTGAGCAACATTTATGCCGCAGGAGGAAATTCCGGGGCCACAGAAAGCTTTTCCTTCCATGTCGGTTCTGCCTTTCAGATCCTGTCGCCTCTGTCGGACGCCATCTTGGCAGAAAAGACCATCACCGTGCTGGATGAGAAGGTGACCATCACCGACCTCGGGGTCCAGCTGGTGACAGGGCTGTCACTCTCCCTGCAGCTCAGCCCAGGGAGTAACAGAGCCATCTTTGCCACCGCGGCGGCACAGGAGCTTCTGCAAAGGCCCAGACAGGTAGGGAGGCAGGGCTGGGGCCAAGTAGGTTATGCACCAGGTGGGACACACACCAGGTAAGTCACGCACCAGGTGAGTCATGCATCAGATGAGGTCAGGCACCAGGTAAGTCACCCACGAGGTGGGTCACGCATCAGATGAGGTCACCCAGCAGGTGGGTCAGAGATCCGGCGGCGGGGGAGGGGGGGGAATCAGACATCTGGAAGAGTCCCAAGTGGGGCCAGGTCACATGTCAGATGGGGCGATTCACTGAGCGGGTCCCACATCACCCAAGGTCCCGCAGTGGGATGAGGTCACAGGTTAGATCGGTTATCTGTCTGGTGGAGTCACTAACTGGGGGTCCCACAGAACAGTGGGACCCATGTCAGGGGCTTCTCAGCCTGGAAAGGGGTTTGGGAGGCAAGCAACTCTGTGGCTCATGCTTCCAAGCCCCCTTAGACAGAGCCTCAAGAAGGAAAAAGGTTTCCCAGCATCAAGGATCACAGGCCCCAGGAGACGAGGGGCTGGACGAGGACTCCACTCCCCGTTAGCCACAGTATCAGGAGCGCTCAGGCAGTCGCCGGGGCTGTCTCACACTCTTCCGCTGCCCCCACGGCCCCGGCAGGGGGAGGACGAGCCTCCAGGGGGGTGCCCACAGCCTGCTCCGAGTCCCTGCAAGGAAAATGGGGCAGCAGGTCTGGGGCGGTGGGAGACTGGAGGAGCCGCTCTCGCCAGGCTTGCGGTTTAGCTCGGGGCAGAAGCAAGGACCCCGTGGGGACGTCAGTCTGCATCTCCTTTCTCTGTACTTGACGCCGGTGTGTGCTGACCCTGTGCCCTGTGTGTTTGTGTGTCAACGTGATGGTTTCCCACATTGCTGGAAACAGGACATTCACAGACACTGTGTGTGCTCCTCCCTCGTTAGAGGACAGTTATGCTTTATCGGTTAGAGGGAACACAGAGGCTTTGGTGAAACTTGCTGAGCAATGAGACAGTGGTCTGCAGCCGCTGGTTCTCTCTGGGGCTCGTGACGTGGGGCCGTCCTCCCGCGGGGCTCCAGCCCAGGTTGGGGGTGTCCTGGCAGCTTCCCTTCGGGGCGGGAAGCCTTCCTGGCAGGTGTCCCCTCGGCACTTCTAGCCCTGGCACCACCAAGGCTCTAACTATGCTCTGAGGAGAGCCGGACTTGTCCCAGGGCACACAGAGCCCTCCCATCTTCCCAGCCTGTCCCTGTCCCTCAGCACTCCTCGTCCTGTGTTAGCTAATTCCTTTGCCCCTTCGCTGTGGTCTTTGCGGGCAGGGGCTACGATGATAAAACCCTTGAACGTGGATGATTCTAGTCACAGATACGAACTCTTGCCAGAGACAAACCTCCTTGTTCTCAGGGTGCCAGGCAGGATACGAGGCACAGATAACAAAGGGGAGACAAGCCAGGGCTGCTTTCTGTCTTCGCGGATGATAAAATCAGGGGACCGCCGGCCAGGGCTCAAGGAGGCGGTGAGACGAGTTAGAGTAAGGCCAGGGGAGCTGATCCACTCGCGACACGCAGAGCCGACCGTGCTTGTCCGTGGCCGGCTCCGTACTTGGTTCACATGACCCCTGGTCCCCGCGTGCGCTTGGCTCTGACATTTCAGTCTCAGGAAATCCAATGGCTTTTGAGTCTCCTGCTCCGGTTTCCTGGCAGATTGGATGAAGCCGGTGAGTCGGTGTCCCGTCCTGGGGCTCTGGGGCTATTTCTCGGCCTCATTCTGCAATTAGCAGCTGGTCCAAGCCAACGCTTGACCCTAACCCTAACCCTAGGCGTATCTCGTGGGGGGGCTGAAGCCAGCAGTCACATTCCCACTTCCAGACGCCAAGCAGCACCGGGTAGAAGTGGCTTCGGTCATACTTAGAGGCGCTTTGGTTGCCAGAAAGAGAAATGTACTCGAGCAAGCTTGAGACGCACGGGCTCTGCTCCCAGGACCAGGGGCTCCTGCAGACCCCAGCTGCGGCACCTCGGAAGACGTGGGGTGTCAACGGTCTCCCCACGCCCACACTGCCTGCCCTGCGCCTGCCTTCCGCTGTAGTCCTTTTCCCTGTCCTGCAGTAATGCTGGACGCGGACATTCGCTTATCCCTCATCACTGCGGCAGCCTCGAGGTGGCTCCACCCCCTAGTTATCGTCCCGCAGCTCAGGCTTCGAGCCCATCTGTCTGATTTCACATTTGAGAGGGACAGAGAGCGACAGAGAGAGAGAGAGAGAGAGAGAGAGACTCGCACTGGCTCAGCACTGCAGGGATGAACGGCTTTGCAGGTTCCCTCATGGCCCCTTGTCCCCAGTCCAGTCTGCCGTGGCGCCGTGGCTGGGTGTGTGGGTCACATGCCTCTCCAGGCTAGTTATCCTGGGGTTGGGGTGGGGCAGTTTCTCGAGATCTTGGGGAGGAAGGACCAGTTCGAGGTCAAGCACAACGACCTCTTCCCTGAAATTCAAGGCTCGCGTTCAGTCAGGGAATATCTCCTTTATTACGGTCTGCCTGGTCCAGCTGGTGCCAAAGGGAGTGATCTAAGCCACAAAACCAGAAGGCGAGAGATTGAGATATGGGCCACCTTGGTCTCCCTGTCTCCCCCGTGTGGCTGAGGGGAGGAGGTCGGCAGACACAGTCCACGTAGGGTGTGGGTCTCCCTGGCTGGTTTAGCTCCCTGTCTCCCAGTCAACACGGTGTCTGGAAACTCTTACAAACCTGCGCCCGTAGACCCAGATGCAGCAAGACCAACAGCACCCAGCCTGCGGCACCTCTGGGTGTCCCTGTCCGGATCAGGGGCGTTCGTCTCCCTTGTGAAGGATGAGCGGAGACTCGGGATTAAAGCAGCTTAGAAATAATGTCATACATATTTTCCCTTGAAATGCGTGTCAGTCGTAAATGGTCCCACTAACCAGTCCTGCCCTTGGATGTGTAATTTACGGTGGCATAGACGTGGATCTTGTGCCCCTTAAAAACCCCATCTTAGGGGCGCCTGGGTGGCTCCGTGGGTCAAGCCTCTGCCTTCGGCTCAGGTCATGATCTCAGGGTCTTGGGATCGAGCTCCGCATCGGGTTCTCTGCTCAGCGGGGAGCCTGCTTCCTCCTCTCTCTCTGCCTGCCTCTCTGCCTACTTGTGATCTCTGTCTGTCAAATAAGTAAATAAAAATCTTTAAAAACAAACAAACAAAAAAACACCCCGTCTCTCTTTCAACCCCTCAGGGAAGAAAAGCAGATCTTCTTATGGAGCGTTTAGCCTGGGCCCCCTTCATTCTCACGTCAAGGCCATGGTTGTGGTCTGGTTTCCCACCTCCAAAAAGCATTGAATGTCTTCCATGACCCTCATGCATCTGATCTCGTTTCTGCCTGCTTAAAAGGCATTCCTTTGTTCTTCTGTTATTTCTGCCACTGAATGTCTGCCGTGCAAAGCCGTGGTCTTCCATGAGCTGTGGGGCCCGTGCTCACTGACTTATTTTATTCAACAGGAAGCGGCCATCAGTTGCTGGGTCCAGTTCAGCGATGGTTCCATCACCCCCTTAGACATCTACGACGGCAAAGACTTCTCCTTGGTGACCACCTCCCTGGACGAGAAGGTGGTCTCCATCCACCAAGACCCCAAATTCAAGTGGCCCATTATCGCTGCTGAAACTGAAGGGCAGGGCGCCCTGGTGAAGGTCGAAATGGTCATCAGTGAACCATGCCAGAAATCCAAACGTAAGAGCGTGCTGGCCGTGGGAACAGCCAACGTCAAAGTTAAGTTTGGCCAAAACGATGCGAACCCTAACACCAGTGACAGCAGACACGCTGGGGCAGGAGTTCACCTAGAAAATAACGTCAGTGACAGAAGACCCAAAAAACCCTTGCAAGAGTGGGGGAGTAAGGGAGGAAGGTACCACAGCAGTTCCTCCATGGGCCTCATGGAGGGAAGGGGGTCCACGACGGAGAGGTCGACCTTCCAGAGGAAGAGCAGTCAAGGAAGCCTTTTAGATGATGACGGCCACTTGCAGACCATCCCCATCGAACTCAGCAACTTCCCAACCCAGGGCGACCTGCCCAGAAGCAACGGGGAGACGGACGAGAACGGCCTCACGCAGGCCTCCAAAGGGCTGAGCGACTTGGAGATCGGCATGTACGCTCTGCTGGGGGTCTTCTGCCTGGCCATTCTGGTCTTCCTCGTCAACTGCGTGGCCTTTGCGCTGAAGTACAGGCACAAACAGGTTCCATTCGAGGAGCAGGAAGGTCTGAGTCACTCGCACGACTGGGTCGGCCTGAGCCACCGCTCCGAACTGCTGGAGAACCACATCAATTTCGCGTCCTGCCAAGACGAGCAGATCACTGCCATCGACAGGGCCGTGGATTTCGAAGAGAGCAAGTATCTGCTCAGCACAGACTCCCAGAAGAGCAGCAACGGGCAGCTGCTCAAGTGTCCCGGCCCCGGTGTCACAGATGGGAGGGATCAGAGAGGCGAGCCCCCGGCGTCCCCGACCTCAAAGAGGAAAAGAGTGAAATTTACCACCTTCACCACCATCCCCTCGGACGATAGCTGCCCCACCGTGAACTCCATAGCGGCCGGTGGTGAGGACATGAGCTGGGTCTGCCAGGATCTGGACCCCGGGGAGAGCAGACCGCCGCACGGCTACGTGGAAGGGTTACGTGAGCACGTGTAAGCCAGACCCTCACGGACGCAGGCTCTCACTCACCTCTCAGCCTTTAAATTTGGGGATGTGTGACCAGGGCACCCCCGGGAAAGGAGTGAAGTGACAGGACAAGATAAGATCGCCCCCATCGGCAGAGCCCCGGCAAAGGTCGCCGGCTTGGCTGGGTGGCCCCGCGTCGGGATCGGGGCACACGTTCCAGCACCCAGCGTCTTGGCTGGCGCTGAGGCGGATCGTGCATGGCAAGATTTGTAAAACTTGGAAGAAAAATGAGTTCTGCACCACTGAGCGTCTGAGAGGCCCCAGGAAAGAACGGCCCTCCCCCGCCCCGTGTCCATCACTCTTTTCTCCCTTGAACCAAAGCCCTTGGGTATGGTGAAAACCACGGGAGTCCAGAACTCACTCCTGCAGAGCCCAGAAGAAGCCTGAGACTCAGGTGGGGTGCGAGTGGATGGACAGGGGGCAGCGAGTTCCTCGAGCCGGGGTGTGCATCCCTCCATGAGCAGGACCGCGTGCTACCGACAGGGACAGGAGGGCCACACGTGGGCAAATGGGCCATAGATATTTTTGTCATGAGATGCCGAGAACAAAGGAGCAAGCCCTCTGAGGCACTCAGGGCATCCCTTTACTGGTAAACTAGGGATACAGGGCACAGAATGTCAACCTGTCCAGGGAACCAGGCTTTTCCGGGCAAGTTCACCGTCTTCAAATGTGCACTGCTCTGCCCCAGCAGCCGTCGAAGAGCCGTCGCTCACGTGCGGGCATGGGGGCCTGTCCCGCATTTCCCCGTGGCTGGTGCATCAGGTCCGGATGACACTCTGCCGTGGCCCCACCAGGCAAACGTCACTCATGCCCTTTCCTTGGAGAGGCAGGGGTTTGAGGATTCGCGGTTCTCATGGTGAATTCAACACCCGGGGACATTCATCGCCCTGGCCCTCAGGAAAGATGGGGCAGCCGTTTTGTGATGGCCCCGCAGATGGCCACACCAGGTCCCCCATCCACGGTGGCAGAAATAGTTGTGGACGAAGATGGAGTGTGTGGCCTGGGAGAGCCGGGGTCCCACTGTGCCACAGGGGGGTTGGTCAGGAAGCTTGTCCACACCCCTGTGCGGGCTTGGACTGATGGAGGGACGGAGGTGCCCATGCTTGCAGGGGAGAGGGAGGCCCTAGTCTGTCCTGAGAGCTTTCACGTTGTTGCTTAAAATCAGAATGACTCTGAATGTCTCCCCAACCCCTCTGGATGGATGGGAAGCCACTAAGGAGGCAGATGTGGGGAGAGATGAGCATATTCCTGCCCCAGCTGGAGCTCCTACCAAGGCGGGGCAGGGCGGTGGGACCTCTGGCAAGAAGGGCCACAGAGAAGCAGGGTGGCGGGACGGGGGGGTGGGGGGCAAGGAAGGCTCTCCCCTCTGTCATTTTCTGTCTCTCCGCTCTGCCATGCTCTTCTCCAGTTTCTCTCTTCCTCTGTGTGTCTCTTCTCTCTGTGTCTCCCTGACCCTATTTCTCTCCTCCCTCTGTGTCTCTCCCTTCTCTTTGCTCTTCTCCTTCTCCTCCTCCCCCTCCTGCTCTCCCCCCACCCCCTCCTTAATGTCTATAATTGAATTCTCCCTAGATCGTGGGTGCCCCTTCCTCCAGCTCACTCTTTCCACCTTCACCCCCACCAACCCCCAACTGAGGTGCTCCCCATTCGCTCTAAGCCTGGTAATCCAGCAGCCATCAGCCACCTGCTCCTGTCCCCAAGTCGACTCACCCTGTCTGGTGGGGCGATTAAACTGTCACCCTTTCTCAATGACGGTCCTTTGCTTTCAGTAGCCCTCCTGATATTTCTTTCCATCTGTACCCGCGTGATGTCCTATTTAACGCGGCAGCCGCTGCCCTCTCTCCGATCCGTCTCCCTTAAGAATGTATTGTAGATCGTAAGAATGTAATATATGTTTATACACTTACCGACTGTAAATATAAAGTTTGCATTCAGCGGCTTTATGGCTGTCCTTTGTCCTTCTATACACTGACCCCCTCTGCGGGGCCAGCGTCAATTGCAGATGGGCCTCCAAACGCTGTGGCTTTTGGTAAATGAAAATGCAGATTTAAGGATCCCGGCACAATCCAATTACACTCTTACGCGGTGTAATGTCGCTCTCTGCACCGAGACGATGTTGACACAGGATGACAAAGTGTATTGTGTACTAAGCATCTCTCCTTCAGGACCTGAAAGGATTTTCAAATAAATCACATGTGCAATTCTCTGCTAAAAGCCTGCTGACTGATGGCGGTAAGTGAGAACCAAGGCAGGAGAGCGTATATCCCGGCTCCCTCCGGGCTGCAGCGAGGAAAATTGCTCTGTCCTTTCCTTGGATCCCACACGTCCATTCAGATGTCAGCTTCCAGAGGTGTGCCCACGGTGGCTCTGGGCTGCACGAGAAAGGCTGACTTCTAGAGTCCTCTAATAGTCAAATGCGGTCCGGAGACTCTTCTGCAGGGGGGGAGAAAAAAAAGTGCATGAAATGCTTGTATCTCTGCAACAGTATCAAGTGATGTATCAGTTACTTATTTACCTGGTGTTTACGAAGCAGCTGCTGTGCGCTCGGAACCACTGCCGGCACTGGAGATGGAGAGTAACTATGCCAGCCTGCTCGCAGCGATGTCACGTCTACGCGGGTGGGGGGGCATAACATGAAAATAAATTTCAGATCACCGTAAGCTGTAGGAAGGATGATAAAACAGGTTACAGAAGAGACAAAGACTGAGTCAACATCGAACACTTGAGCCATTTCACCTAAAAAAAAAAAATCTGGATTTCTATCTTCTTTTGAAAAGAGACAATTTGGTGAAATGGGGCTTGCAACCCAACTTGGTCCTCCCTGGGAACAGTGGCTTTGCTGTTGATGCCTCCAGGCAGGACGCCCAGATTATCTCCCTGACTCCGAGTTGTGGTCTGTGTCACCACTTTCCCTAGGTTAGGGAATTAGCACTCCCTGGCCATGTCTCTGCCCAAAAGTGAAAAAAGCAAATCCAGCCAGAGGGAAGTTGTGTGTTCCCCAAGACAATGAGGGCAAAGTCTATTGCCCTATGAAAGAGAGAACAGCCCCATGTGTCTCCCAGGAAAACACAGAACGTTGTCATCTAACAAATACGACTTAACATGGCCCATAATGTGGTCTGTGTGCCCAGGGTTCAGGAAAGAAGGGATCTGAAAATCCTGAAATGCTTATTCAGCAGGGTGCATTTTGAAAGCTGTCTGCTCTCCTTCATCCCATCCACCTGCCTCCTCGTTTCCGCCCCCGAGGGGCCCCCAGAGCCAATGAGGGTCCCACCTACGGACTAAGGCAGCAGGAGCCAGGGTCCTCCATGCCCCGGATGTGGCGGCCAACCGTCTGTCGTCAGGCACGTCGGGCTGCTGGGGCCACCTTCACAATCCCCCAGACTAGGGCTGGGACAACAGACATTTCCTGTCTGAGTCTGGAAGTCCAAGATCCCCGGTCAGCAGGTCGGTTCCTTCCGAGGTTCCAGGCCTCTCTCCAGCTCCTGGTGATTTGTGGGCCATCTTTGGCTCTCCCTGACTTGTAGGTCTTTTACTCCCACTCTGCCCCCATGTTCACACGACCTTTCCACACTCTGTGTGTGTGTCTGTGTCCAAATCCTCCCCTTGATCAGGACGCCAGGAGTATTGGGAGTGGGGGCCCAGCCTCCTCCATATGACCTCATCTTAACACATTATATCTGCAAAGACCTCATTTCCAAATAAGGTCCCATCTACTACTGAGAGTTAAGACTTCAGCCCGTGAATTTAGGGCGGGGGGGGGCGCCTTTTGACCCATAATGCCGACCTCTGGCCCGAGGTCTGGGGAGCTGACTGCAACACAGGCCCGCCCAGCCCAGGGCAGGGGCACACCGGGCTTGCACGAATATATTTCCCAGAGGGAAACCCGTGCCCCCGCACTCCCGGGGTGTCCTCGCGCAGCCACACTGGTAAAGGCTTTCATAGACATCCTCGTGGAAGCCTGGGCAGCTTGTGTCATAAGCTGGAGCCAAATCAAACCTGTCATCTGTAAATTGTCATGACCCAGGCCTTGCTCACAGATGTCTACCTCCAGGCCTGGAAGCTGGGGAAGGGGTGAGCCCCCACCTAACCCACAGGGACTCAGAGCGGACAGTTTCCAACAGGAAGAGCAGGAGACTTTTGCCGTAACAATAGATTTGGTCCTGTCAGTTGACCCCCCTGGTCTTCCCTGGCCCTTTCCAGCACCCCCACCCTGGAATCGTAAGCACAGGACTCCAGGAAATTGAGGCCCAGGCTGAGGAAGGGAGAGCAAGGCTCCTTTGCAGGTAACCCATGTGAGTGCACGGGAAAGACCCACCACTCTCTTGTAGCGCCTGGGGGGCTCAGCGGGTTAAGCCTCTGCCTTCGGCTCTGGTCATGATCCCAGGGTCCTGGAATCGAGCCCCGCATCGGGCTGTCTGCTCCACAGGGAACCTGCTTCCTCTTCTCTCTCCCTCTGCCTGCCTCTCTGCCTACTTGTGATCTCTGTCTGTCAAATAAATAAATAAAATCTTTAAAAAGAAAAAAAAAAAAAAGACCCACCACTCTCTGGCTGGGTCCCCCTGCGGGTCCCTGGAGCCACACAGTCCCAGGGCCCCTGCCTCTTTCTGGGTGGGCCAGACTCTGGATTTCTCATGGCTGCTTTTCTCTGATGCTCAATCAAGTTTGACCCACCAGTTACGCTAATGGGCTCAGGGCACCATGGTCCCTATTTGGTTCATACCTTTAAAAGCTCCTGCCTCGTTTGACTTTGTTCCCCCTCATCCAGAGCATCCCATGGCTCTTAGGTGAATCTACTCAGTAGGCAGTTGATGTTTGCTAAATGAAAATTAACAGGGTGACCTTTATAAAACATAAATCATGTCACTCTCGGCTTAAAACCCTCCAGTGACGCCCACACATCCTCCAATGGGGTCCAGCGTCCAGACCATGGCCTGTAGCCCAGAGTGATGTGGCACCCGCCATCACTCCAC